AAAACATTGTTTTCTAGTTGGAGCCGCACCTCGTTTTCAAACTGTATGGTTTGACTAAAATGAACAATGACAGCAATATAGTCCACGATGAGCAGCGCTAAAATCAACCTGCGTAGTTGTCCCTCCATTGTGACATTAGAAAGCGTCACATTTATCTTGCAAGTGTACTCTTCTTCAACGTTTGGTTTATTTCCTGGATTTTTCCCACATGGAAATTCTGACCAATCAAGAGCAGCTTTCTCACTCAAGGCATTTGATCTGGTCCGCTTGTAAATGCTGCCGTGAGAACACGAACACCAACTTGTTGTTTTATGACACACTTGACCCCAAATTTGTTTCGATGAAGGTGATGTTGAAAAACGGCAAAATGACCCTTTAATATGACTGGATTTATACTCATAACTGCTGATTGGGTAACATCTCTGACACACCCACCAAACGAGAGAGCATGAACCTCAAAGTGTGTTGCAGACTATTTCGAGGAAACATATCGTTCAGCCCAGAAATCGACCACCTTCAGATTTATCGTACCCCTGCATTAGACAGTCAAGACTAGAACGTTTACAGCCATGCTAGAAGCCCTGTAAGTCTTTGTTTTAGCACAGTGGTGCTAAATGCTAAAAATTAGCATGCTAACATGCTCACAGTGACATTTGATCATAAAACGAACTGGACGCACATTTTACATTACATTTTACTAAAAACTACAAAAATCAACTGCATGGTGAGGGTTACAGGAAAAGTCAGGGGAACATAAAACTCAAAAAGATTCATCCTCTGGAGATCATGAATGTTTGCCAAAAATTCAGTGGCACTCCATCAAATGGTTGTTGTGATATTTCAGTCTGGATCACGGTGGTAGCCCGAGCAACACACACTGGCATCCTTAGAGCCGTGTCCCTAACGCCGGCACACTGAGTCAAATTTTGTTGAAAATAATAAGAAGCGTTGTGTAAATGTAGGTCAGGATAAATGGTCCACTGCACTGTTAGTTCTTCTTTGACCGCATGAGTCATTGTCTCAACATTCACCCAGCTTTGTGTTGATCCCACAGATGTTGCTCCTTTCACTGATTTCTGTGGATCCGTTTGATAAAACCTGCATTGGTGCGTCCGCTCAGCGCTCTGTGTGCAGATCAGTCAGTGTTGCCAGGGTGTGTTTGATCTGCTCTGAATGGAGAACCTGTTGTGTCTCATCAGAGAGACGGAGCTTCTGTCCGAAGGCTCATGATGAACATGCACATGTGTTTGTGTGCTGCGAGTGTGTGTCTGTTTTTGTGTTGTGTCATAACTCTGGAAACACAACCTGTTACTAACTAGCTGAGGTTGTTTCTTCGCAGACAAACACTCCTTTGTTTTCTCTCCCTCTGTGAAAAATGATATAATGACATGGAAACAGGAGAAATTGTGTGTGTGTGTGTGTGTGTGTGTGTGTGTGTGTGGGTGATGCCAAGACTGTGATTTTGTTCCGATTTGTCCTCAAGGTTTCATTTCTTTGGAAACTGATTGGTTTTGAACGTGGGATTAACCGTCTTCCTGCTCCTTCTGTTCTGCAGGCCGTGAACACATCACTGCTGGAGTGTGTGTTTGTGTCTGCCTGTGTGTGTTTGCTGCTGTCAGGAGCGGCTGCTGTGCATCTGTTGATCTCTCCACCTCCTCTTCCTCCACCTCTTATCCCCCCTCCTCCTCTCTTCCTTCTGTTTGCTTTCTCATCTCCATCTTTTCTTCTGTCTCTTTTCTTCCCCCGCTTCCTGTCCTCCTCTTCCTCTTCTGCTCCACATATTTTCTCCATCTCCCCCCCTTTAATTCTTCATCTTTATTTTTTTACCTGCTTTCTTTACACCAATTTCCTCTCCTTTCCTGACCCTTCTTTCACCCATTTCTCCCTTTTTCTTGCCTTTTTTAAATTTCACCCTCATATCTCCTTCTCCACGCCTCTGCCAACTTCATCCCCTCTCTCCTTCTTTTTGTCTTGTAATTTCCATTTTCCCCTCCCTCCTATAAATCCCTCCTTCCCCTCCTCTTCACATCTTCCTCTGCTTCCATTTGTGGCTCTTGTGCAGCTTGCAGAGACCTGAAACCTGTCTGAAATAGAGGAATACCAGAAGGCGATTAATCATAGGAAACATTTAGGAAATGTTATGCTAGATCACTTCAGTTTGGGTTATATTGTCATTGTCTGTGCATGCAGCTGAATGTCTGGATTTATTTAAGAAGTTCCCATTCTGGTGAGAAACCGCAACATCTGAGAAGAGAGAGTGACTCTATTAGTAAACTTGTTCAGTAACATTGCCTGTCTCCCGCAGATGGTCGCTACTTGGTGTTTATTTAATGCATTTTGCAGAAAAATAGAAAAAAATAAATTTATAAATTAGCATTGGTGTTCAAAAGTTTTACATTCTTTAGCATTAGCCTCTTCTATTAGTAATAAATTGCAAAATTTTGCATATTCTGATCTTCAGTTACTGCTACTGTATGTTAGCTTCACATGTAGCTTCAGTCTCTGTAGCAACTGCCTTTTTAAGTAACTTTTATTCACTTTGTTGTCAGGTTTTATATGTAAGGGATAATGTATAATGAGCCGGTGAATACTGGGAAAATAACTTCCTTCAGGGGAATAGAAGAGGGGTTCTATTCCCCTGAAGGGAGTTATTTTCCCAGTATTCACCGGCTCATTATACATTATCCCGCTTATTACATGGCTAATTATCAGTTAAATAAATAATTTGAGACAGAATATTGATTAATTATATGATTTTTATTGATTTATAAATTAAATTGGGGGGAGAGAAAAAAAAAAACTGCCGGCAACGACTGAATCTCCTTGTCAGGGCGACGTCCCTAGCAACGCTGGGCTACATAGCAACGGTCATTACACAGTAATATAAGACATCTGAATGCCGCGACTGACTAATCAGAATACAGCATTTAATAGAGCCGTGCAATAAATTATTATAATTAATAAAGGTATTGTTGGCTTATCACAGGTAAAAGAGTGAATATTTGGCAGATAAGTAGAAATTAATTGCAGCAGCTTATTTAATTTACCTTTTAAAAGCTGAATTATTGTGTATATACATTTGATTTTTTTTCATTCAGGGATAAAATATACACCTCATTTTTCTTATTACTTACTTTTAATAGAAATTTGATTGCTAGCGGTGTGTAGTGTTCATATATTTAAAAACATGTATTGTTATTTTCATCTTTGATAATAAACATTGGATTATTAGAGGTGTAATATGCAAGATTTTTCTAAAAACAACAACAAAAAAATCATAACTCTGAAGGCGCTTGCACATGACCAGCGTTAAAAATCTCTTGATGTCTGCTGTGCCATTGTTTTCCAATGGAAGTTGGCGTAACCAGCTCAGTGGCCTAGTGGGAGAGTGTCCACCCTGAGACTGGGAGGTCGGGGGTTTTATCCTCAGCCGGGTCATACCAAAGACTATAAAAATAGGACCCATTGCCTCCCTGCTTGGCACTCAGCATCAGGGGTTGGAATTGGGGGGTTAGATCACCACATGATTCCCCGGCACAGGACCGCTGCTGCTCACCGCTCCCTCAGGGGATGGGTCAGAAGTGGAGAACAAATTTCATATACTCAGGTGTGTGACAATCAGTGGAACTTTGATCTTAATCTTTAACGCTGACTTCAGGGTACTTTTCGACTTTGGGAACACATTGTGGCCTTCATCGGCGTTTGGACGCAACGCTGAAAGTTCAATTTTGTTGAACCTCGACCCCGTTTGACGCTGACCTTCCGTGTAGAGCCAATGATTTACAGTAGAATGCAGGTGGAGGGCAGGCGCAGAGATGGGGCATGGAAAAATTTAAAGATCCGACTGCAAGATGGAGGGGAGATCAGCGTTGGGTCAAGCCGATGGCGAGCGCTGTGGCGTCAGCAAATCGGCAATCACGTGCAAGCGCCTTCAGAGACTCTGACCTCTGCCTGGGTTTTCCTCTTATTTTACTGTGTTCAGAATGGAATTTTTTTAGTGACCAGATGACAGACTAAAAGCAGCACACATCCAAGAGGGAAGCTACAAAAACCGCAGATACAGCACCTAAAATACACAGATGACGTGAGGTGAAACACCAAGTGGAATAAGTCTGGGGTCAGCTTTCACTTTTATTTTCGCCGGTGATACTGTTTGAAAACAGTAACCGACTAAACTAAATATTCGGTGCCAAAAATCAACCTGTAAACACTTAAAGCTGCTACATTTGTATGCAATATGAACTTGAAACACCAACATTTTGAGGCTGGTTACTCTGGGGATTTATTTTCATGGGATGTTCGTGTCCTTCAGAGTGTCTTCAACTTACAAATACATGAACAAAACTTCTGATGATGATGTCATCTTCCTGTGGCAGGGTTTTGGGCGAGGAGCCAAGCAGCCATTTCCATCTCTGGGCACCTTCATCTCCACACTGAGCCAGAGGAGGGACGCAGGGGGACGGGGCCTTGCTGGCGGCATGACGGGTACAATGGCCAACACCCAGTGGCTCAGACATGGTGAGTTGGTGTCCAGTGTTCTGTGGTGTTACATCAAATGGAACAGTCAGGCCTGATTTATTGGAAGGCTACAGTGCTTTTTAAAATAAATCAGCTCATTTTCATTTTCTCATAACTTCTGGTTATAAGAGGAGGACGTTGTTTGTCAAAACAAAGAAAAGCATCCAAAAAACTGAGTCTCCAAAATGTCTCATTCTCACATTTGGCTTTCAAAACTGCTGCTGGCGGTTCAATGGAGAAAAAAGTCAATGCCAGTGGGGTGAGATCTTGTCCGATGGTCTGGGAACAGATCACTGCACCAGCTTTAAGTACATGACACAAGAGTCTAGAAATTTTTATCTGAAACAAGATGAATAATGTCAAAAACACATGAAGTAATCATATAAATGTGAAGCCTGTTCAAGGAACATATGTGACTCATATGGGACTCTCTGTGTAGACTAGAGTCCTCTATCCTTCTCACATATTTGGAACTTGCCTAGACCAACATTGCGTTGATTGGTGTGGCTGTGACTGAAACAGAAAGAAGTGCACTTTTCAAGTTGAACTTTCTGTTGGGTGCACTGGATTTAAGACTACAAAAAGTAAAAATTGCACTCTTAGCTCAGTTCAGACCAAAGATTTGCAACAACACAAAACCATTTTAGAACGCTGCAGAGAGAAGTTGCAGCAGTGTGAACTGGCTGATTGATGGTGTCACCTGCAACTCATCTGGTCAAATTGCTGGTGGCCAGTGTTAGAACGTAAAGGTTGTCACCTGTTTCTACAGCTCATCAGCTTGTAGTGAAGTCCGCTGGTCGAGTCAAAATGACCGCAGATGGCGTGTTCGCTTACTGCTGCAGGTACTTCTATGTCCCCACCGAGCCCTCTGTTTTGTCCTCATGGTGTGCCACTGTTGGACAGTGGGTCGCTGCTGCTGCTCGCTATATGTGCTTAAGCTGAGAGTTGTTGCATAGAGATGATACACTGTCTCATCTAGTTGCACTGGTGTGAACTGGCAGGTTTTTAGAACATTGCAGAAGGGCGCACTGCAGGTCGTTGCTTGTCTCAACTCATCTTGTTGTGAATCTTTGATCTGAACTCGGATTTATGACAAAAGTCGAAGAGTCACGTCATGTCCTGTGCATTTTTTCTGGTTTAATTTACAAATGTGTTCCTCGTGAGGAGAGGCATCTCTGTGCAAAGTTTCATGTCTCTACGACATACGGGGCATGAGATACGCCCGTTCAAAGTTTGCAATTTCAGTCGGTTGCTATAGCACCCCCCTTTGGCCAATTGATGTAATATTGCTTCATTCGCATCCTCCCATGACCCTCAACCACTGTGCCAAATTCCACATGGATTGACCAAGTCAGTGAGGAGAAAAACGTGGAACAGACACACACACAGACAGAGTTGTCGTCATTATATAGTAAGATATGAGGTGACCTTTAAAAGTGTTTTTTTTATCATTGGCAGTACGGCCTATTTCTTTCTTAAAACTGTTTCCAGTTTGATGCCAAAATGTGATGTGGGAATACTCATGGAAATTTTACGCATCACATCGCTTTACTCACCAGGTCTGTGTTGCCATGTTCCCCACATTTTGTTCCGTGACCAGCACATAATGTTAGTAGCTGCTGGGTAATCTCAAGACATATATTGTCCTTTATTTGATTGTCGAGGTGACATCACAGTGTTTGTCATATGATATTGGGTGTTGAGGAACCAAATTGTTAAGATGGTCCTTCATTGTGGCAGCTGGTTAATGACCTGAAGGTATGACATCAGTTGGAACAAGGGATTTCATTGGTCAAATATGTATTTCTGCAGATGGAAATCGAGGTCTGTATGAACATTTCTCCCCTGCATGGATGTTCTGTTGGGCTGTGCAAGCATTCATAAGAACCCAAAAAGTCAGTTTTTTTATATCTATGTGAATTGTTTGAACACAAAGCCATGCACTCAACACTCAGCTCACACTGTTTGCACTGTTGACTTCCTGTTGTGCAACAAACTACATCAGTACTTTCTTTATTTGCCGTCATATCACCAAACTGCAGTGTGAATATCAGCGTGGTGCGTTCACTGTCTTTGTTCTCATTGTGGTCTTGTCTTGGATGTAATGATGTGTTACTTCCTCTGTTTACAGTACGCTTGATATATGTGCTCAGACTCTGTTTATGTTGAGCTGCTAGCAACGACACTGGAGCTGCAACTCGTGTCTCCAATGTGGAAGGTTTTCAGAAAAGAGAGAGGACGAAGAAAAGCTGTTCGTGTTTTCCAGTTGGTGGCTGTGCACTTAAAGAATCTCACACTATGCAGAAAATCATAGGATCACACTTCTAATTAGATAGTGACAGGCATTTATGGGGCTGAAGTTAAGCTTCTGTTCTCGATTTCCTGCCATTTCAGCTTCATGGTTTAGGGAGAAATTTCAGACTCTCTCTTGGACAGTGCTTGAATATCCTCCCTGCTCTGTGTTTCATGAAAAATGAAAGTTTACAGATGCTTGATTCAATTAAATGTCACTGAGTTCTCAGAAAATAATACACAACAGATTAAGATTTAGTGAAATCCAAAATATCAATATCAGTGCAACAGAGAAAGAAGATGAAGGCAAAAGAAAGATGAAGAGGACAAAATTGACGGCGGCAATATTGTTTATTCGTCGTCAGCATTTCGACATAAAAGGGAATGTTGCTTCCTGTTAAAGGCGAGGTTATTTCTGACTGCCGTGAGAACGCAGACCCAGCGAAGTGCTCACCAGCCCGCTTTGTCACCACGGCTACTGATGCCAGAATAATTATGCAAACCTCCGCCCCAAATGAAAACCATATGAAAGTGAATACACTCAACACACACACACACACACACACATAAGATAGCGTAGCATTCCTCAGGCCCGTTACAGTCGTCCGGCCTGCTGGATAATCACCACAATTTGCTTTTTCATCTGTAAAGTATTACAGGAGGTTTGTATTTCCTTTTAATATTGTCAAATATGGTTTTGTGTGCTGAGGCTGAGCAGAGCAGAGATCCGTCTGAGTTTCATTTAAAGATCAAAACACAATGACACCTTCTCTAGAAACACTGGCATCAAAGTCCGGCTTGTTATGGAAAGAGATTAAGAACTTTATTGATCTCAGCAGGGAAACTGGGGAACTGCAGCAGGATACAGTGAGTGCATAGAGGAAAGTAACTGTGTGAGAAGAAAGCAGCAGAAGTGGTTGCATGAAAATTATATCTGTACTGCCATGCTGTTGGTTTGGTTCTTCTGTAAACATCTCTAATGTCCTAAACACACAGAGAAAATAATAAAAAAGTGATGTTCATGATACACAGTATATTTACAACATGTAAAATGTGACATTCACTATCAGAAACAGGCAGTTAGGTGACCATTTTCTTAAGAGTGTGGCTATACAGACTGATATCCAATCTCAGTGTGAGTCTGACCACCTCCAAATGTGGTCTGGCTGATCCAGTTGCATTCAGGATCCCAATGTCCTTCGCATGCGTATACACCTGGCATTCCTTATCCACATAACATACCAAGATCACATTTTAATGCCAGCTGTAAATGGGGTCAGAGAACACATCGAGCTGCATCGAACAACTTCAGCAAGTTTGTGTCGCTCTCTTAAAAGTCCATGTGTACCCGAGTTGGCTGAGTTTTATCTGCTGTTGCTTTTTGATTGAATAAGTAACCCCAATGAAATAAGGACTGCTTTTTTACAGGGATGCACTGATTTTGAAATTCTAGGCCGATACAATGTTTATTAAAGTACCAATTTGGTCGATAGCTGGTGCATTCTTTTTATATTGTTGCTTATTTTGTTTTGCCCTTATTATTCTCCCTTTTGTGTCAGGGAAACAAAATTAAGCCCTTCATCAAACTACCTTTGAATGAGTGTAAATTTATGAAACAACTTTCAATATAACCTTTCACATGAAAAACATCCTTTTAAAAAATAAGTTCTTCAAAAGTCTTTTCACTATGTTTATGACAATTCTCTCCCTAAGGTGTATTTTATAGTGCTGGGAAAACAACAAATTTCTCCTTTAAATTACTGCATTTATTTAAGATGTTCGACAAAAACTACATTTTACAAGATTATATTAAACACATCATGAGAACATTATAATTTACCTTTGCCCACTACTTACGGATCATAATGTAACTCAGTTCAACCTCTGTGAACTGTTGCGGCTACTAGCTGCTAACAGCTAACAGCTAGCAGCTAACGTTAAATAGTTGTACTCTTGCCAATTTTAACACAGATTTGTTGTTCACAATGTAGCACTATCAGGGAAACAACAGGATGCATCCCCTGATCTGACTTTACTGCGTCCTTTCGTCCCAACGGCATCCTTGGAAATATCTCTGGCTCTCTGGCTGCCACTCGCCATCGTCTGAGAGTCCATTTGTCAAGCAGTCATTGTATTCTTCTTGTACCTGCTCATTTATTTAATTTGTGGCCGTTAGTCTCTAGCCCTGCGCACTGACGTGACAAGACGGAAAAATGTCGGCCGTCTGACACCAGTCAACATTTGAATGCTGGCCAATAGCAATGTTCAGCCAACGCGTTACTTTTTTAGTAAGTGTTTGTCCTTTAATGTAAATTGTACCCTAATTAAATGGATTTATTAAAAGGGCATGTTGAATTTTGTAAGAAAAACTGGATTGAATATGCTGGATGACTGTCAGTCTCAGAACCCATCAGCTATCAGTCTGATGATGATGAGCCTCTGGGGGTAACAGCCGATGTTTTTGGAGATGTGGGCCAAGACTTCCTCTTCTGTGAACAAGTCATTTAGGCTAATCTCTATTAACATTAATTACTTTTAAATTAAGAAAAGAGCTCATATAAATCTAACTTGTCATCAGATGATAGCTGATGGATTCCAAGATTTTGAGCCAATGCTTCCTGCTTCTCCACATGGCCTGTTTACCTGCCGCTCAGATGTGAATGGTCAACACTTCTCAAACTTCAAACAGAAACCAGAATGCTTTTGAT